TAGGGTGCAGTTGTATTTTGCACAGCCAGGAGGACCAGAGGCAAAGGGCTCTCATTAGAACACTGACCTAGACCTTATTCCTTCATTGCAGCTGTCCACAGACAAAGACTTTAGGAAGCATCGGAGCCGTGTGGCCTACCTAAGCCTGTATTACAACTGAAAAGTTGTGACCACCTTCATTTGTTCCTCTTGACCATGGAGTCTCCAAGATTGAGGGCAGAATTTGAATTTCATCAAATGCTTTTTCTGCATCTATTGAAATGATCATGTGATTTTTGTCCTTTCTTTTGTTGATGCGGTGTATCACATTGATTGATTTGCATATGTTGCAACTTGTGTCCCTGGGATAAATCCAACTTGATCACAGTAGATGATCTTTTTTATGTATTGTTGGAATTGTTTGCTAATATTTTGTTGAGGATTTTTTCATATATGTTCAGAAATGATATTGGCCTGTAATTTTCTTTTTTGTTAGTGTCTTTGTCTGGTTTGGGTATCGGTGATGGTGGCTTCATAAAATGAATTTAGGAGTGTTCCCTCCTCCTCAGTCTTTTGGAAAAGTTTGAGAAGGACCAGTATGTGTTCCCTGTATGTTTGGTAGAATTCCCCAGTGAAGCCATCTGGTCCTGGACTTTTGTTTGCAGGAAGGTTTTCTATTGCTGATTCTATTTCACTTCTAGTGATTGGTCTGTTAAAGTTATCTCTCTCTTCTTGATTCAGTTTTAATGGACTATATATTTCTAGAAACTTGTCCATCTCTTCTAGGTTGTCCAATTTGTTTCCATATAGTTATTTATAGTATTCTTTTATATATATATATATTATATATATATATATATATATATATATATATTATAATTCTGTGGTGTTGGTTGTGATTTCTCCATTTTCATTTTTATTTTGATTATTTGTGTCCTCTCTTTTTCTTCTTGGTGAGCCTGGACAGAGGTTTGTTGATTTTGGTTACTCTTTCAAAAAAAAAAAACAGCTCTATTTTGATTGATTTTTGATTTTTAAAAAATCTCTATTTTATTTATTTCATCCCTGATCTTTATTATTCTCTCCTTCTACTGACTTAAAGTTTTGTTTGCTCTTCTTTTTCTAATTCTTTTAAATGGTAGGTTAGGTTATTTATTTGAGATTGTTCTTGTTTTTTTTGAGGAAGGCCTATATCACTATGAATTTCCCTCTTAGGACTGCTTTTGCTGCATCTCAGATTTTGTGTGGTTGTATTTTCATTGTCATTTGTCTCAAAGCATTTTCTGATTTCTTCTTTGATTTTATCATCGACTCATTGGTTTTCTAGTAGCATGTTGTTTAGTCTCCACGCAGTCATTTTTTTCTCGTTTTTCTTTCTGTGGTTGATTTCTAGTTTCATGCCATTGTGGTCAGAAAAGGTGTTTCAAATAATTTCTAATAATCAAGAATCATCTTCTATCTTAGAGAATGTTCCATGTGCACTTAAAAAGAATGTATTTTCTGGGTTTTTTGGATGTGATGTCCTGAAAATATCAACTAACTGTCCTGTTGTGTCTTTTAGTGTCTCTGTTGCCTTACTGATTTTCTGTCTGGAAGATCTGTTCAATGATGTCAGTGAGGTGTTAAAGTTTCCTATTGTTGTTGTATTCCTATCAATTTCTTCCTTTATGTCTGTTAGTATTTGTTGTGTATATTTAGGTGCTTCTATACTGGGTGTCTATATGTTAACAAATGTAATATTCTCTCCTTGTATTGCTCCTTTTATCATTATATAGTGTTCTTCTTTACCTTTCTTTATGGCCTTTGCTTTAAAGTCTATTTTGTCTGATATGAGTATTGCTACCCCTGCTTTCTCGTCATTTCCATTTGCATGAAATATCCTTTTCCATCCTCTCATTTTCAATCTATTTGTGTTCTTCTCCCTAGAGTGGATCTCTTATAGGCCACATGTTGTAGGCTCTTTTTTCATTATCCAATCTGACACTCTGTGTCTTTTGATTGGAGAATTTAGTCCATCGACATTATTGTAATTATTGATAAATGTGTTTATTGCCATTTTAAACTTTGTTTTCCAGTTGATTTTGTTTGTATTTTTTGTTCTTTTTTGTCTGTTTGTTTTATCTTTTGTAGTTTATTTTCTTTTGTTTTAGTTTAATTTATTGTCTTTTTGGTTTTCATGACTCTATTGTATACTTTTGATTTGTGGTTACCTTGTTTTTCAAGTATTTTAATTCATTACTATATCTATTTGCTTTACATTGGTAATCATATAGGCTCAAACACATCCTAAAACGAATGAAAAAAACTCTTATTTGCTTGCTTCCCTCTCCCACATTTTATGATTTTTATGTCCTCTTTTAATCTCTTTATGTTTTTTCTCTTGATCTTCATTATAGTTATCACATTTCTAATTGTGTTTTTTTTCCCTTTCTATAGATGCTTGCTTGTATTCTATTTAGAGAAGACCTTTCAATATTTGTTTTAGGATAGATTTAATATTGCTATATTTTTAGGTTTTGCTTGTCTGAGAAATTCTTTACTTCTCCTATTCTAAAGAATAGTCTTGCTGGGTAGAATATGCTAGGTTGCAGGGTTTTCTCTTTGAGGGCTTTGAATATATCTTGCCACTCCCTTCTGGCTTGCAATGTCTGTAGAGAAATCAGCTGATAGCCTTATGGGGGTTCCCTTGTAACTAACTCTTTTTTCTCCTGCTGCTTTTAGAATATTTTCTCTAACTGTGGCCATCTTAATTACAATATATCTTGGTTAGATATGCTGAGGTTCATCTTGCTTGGGACCCTCTGTCCTTCCTGTAGTTGGATATCTGCTTCCTTCTTTAGGTTTAGGAAGTTTTCAGTTATAATTTCTTCAAATATATTTTTTATCTTCTTTTCTCTTTCATCTCCTCTGGGATCCCTGTGTAGATTGGAATGTTTTATATTATCCCATAGGTCCCTTATGTTGCTTTCATTTGTTTTCATTTGCTTTCTGTTTGCTGTTCTGATTGGGTGATTTCTATTATCATGTCTTCTAAATCACTTATTTGTTCTTCTGTATTATTTAGTCTGCTATTGACTGCCTTTAGCTTGGCTTTTCTCTCAGCAAATGAGTCTTCTGCTTTTAATTCGCTCCTTTTTGTAGTTTCTATTTCCTTTTTACAGTATACTGTATTTCTGTTGATGACCTGTCATTTCATTCAGGGATTTTATCACCTCCTTTTTGAACTCAGGATCTAGTAGACTCTTGAGGTCTATTACATTGTTCATCCCTTCAGCAGACTTTGCTTGTTCTTTTAGTTGGGACTGGTTCCTCTGCTTCTTCATTTTATGTATATTTTTCTGGCTCTATGAATTTCAGAGTAACAGTTATCTCCTGTCATCTTGAAATGTGTTTTTTTAAAGTGGGAGTGTCCCTGTGTAGGCTGTGCACATCTAATAATTTTGTCATAAGGGCTGTTTTTAGTATGGATGGTTGCCATGTCTTTCCTCTATGTGTGCTCATTGTTATTCCCTTGACTGTGGTTGGTGTTTTGGTGACCAGAGCCTGCACTGGTTATTGACCAGGACCTCATCTTTGCTCTGTGGTTGTCACAGCCCTGACAGGAGCCAAGTCTCTCCCCTGTTGTTGGAATAGAGGCTTTCAGTCCCGTTCTGAGCTGTGGTGTGTGGTAGGAGGAACTGGTGTGCTTCCACTGGAAGAGGAACTGCTTAGTATGCCTCCATGGAAGATGTCCACTGGAAAGTGTCCTCTGTGGTTTCATCTTTCACAGCTTCTGCTAGCCTACAAAGTACACTTTGTTGTTACTGCCCTTGTTCCCCCACCTCAGCTGCATGAATGTCAGCAACCGACCCTGGTGTTCCCCAAGTTCTGTGCCACAGAGCCACCAGTGAAGATCCACCAATGTTATGTACTAGGACCCACCACAGGGTGTGTACAATCATGCATCTGGATCCACCATGATCCACAAAGTCAGCCCAAACCCTAGCCCCATATCTGCATATAGTATTCAGGTCTGCTGTTAATACCAGACCCACCCCTGCTGTAAGCCAGAACTCCACTCAGTTGTCTCAGAGGTACAGGCCTACACAGGCACCTGTGGGGCAAATCCACCACCAACAACTGGGACTCAAATCAAATCTCAGTCCCATCTTTGAAGTCATGGGACCTCTGGGAATGGATTCAGGTTTCAAACCCACCCCTGCCCTGGAGCCACACGCCAGCAATTGTGTCCCTCCAGAGGAAGCCGAGAAGACTACTATTTCTGAACTATGCCTTTCTGCTCTGCAAAAATGTGTGCAAGCCATGCCCTCTGGCTAGTGGAGAAGGCTGCTATGGCCAGGCTGTGTTGCACCCCTCCCCAACACATGCACCAGAAGTAGTACTCACTATAGGGGACCAGGCTGTTCTGCACACCCTCTCAGCCTCAGCCCACACCACACTCCAGCCCCCTGAGACTGCCTCTGCACAGTCGGCCCCAGTCCTCTCCCCAGGTTCATCCGTGGAAGCCCAAGATCAGCCCCAGGTCCTGGCCTGTCCGCAGTGGCTCACACCTTGGGCTAGGGATCGCACGGACCCTCTGTGCCAGTTTCTCTCAGTTCTGTCTGCCAAGAGGCTGATGCTTTCTCCTCCAAACCTCTAAAGCTCCCTTTCTGTCCCAGTTGACCTCCCCACTGGAGAGGGGAGTTCCCAGGGTGGGGATGCTTTTCCTCCTTTGCTGCTACCTCCATGGGAGACAGATCCCACACCAATTTCCTTTTTTTTTTCCCTTCCTACCTGGTTTTGTGAGGATTTGCCTTACATCACATTTCCAATGTAAGAGATATTCTGCCAAATTTCAGTAGGTATTCTGTGTGAATTGTTCCATATGTAGATACAGTTTTTGGTGTACTCATGGGAGAGGGTGAGCTACACATCCTTCTACTCCACCATCTTGGTCAGACTTCCCCATTTCCTTATTTTTAACTTATTTCTCTGTTGGTAAGAAGTCTGACTTTCATTATCCACAGAATATTTACTTGTTTAATTCTGGAATACACATAAAGTAGTTTCAGAATTGCTAACATATGTTCCTATAAAAACAAATTTGCTAACTAGACTAAGAATTTGTGTACAATTCCTTTTGTCTTCAGCCTTTTGGTATATATGCAAAATGCTCTACTTTCCAAAGTTAATATGGTTAGTTCTTTTCTTCCCTAATCCTTTCAATGTGGTTATGTTGTTGTATTTTTTAATACAGTTAAGTTTATTTGTCACTGTATTGCAGATTTGCATTGCCCCATCACAACCACCACCACTATATCTTTGATTTTATTTATTTATTGTTGGGCCATGTGAAAGATAATCATGGTTCTAA